CATTGCACCCGCCCTCTGCTGCAGTTCTCCATCAGGTCCATCAGCAGAGGGCGGGTGCAATGCTAGTTTACTATTGGCTATTGCAAATTGAAATAGCCAATAGGAATCTACCAATGCATTCCTATTGTGCAAAAATTTGTTTTTATTTTTTTCTATTCTGACACGGCTCCGTGTCAGCATAAAGAAAAAAAAAGGAAAAGCAGTGCATCTCTCCTTGGAGGCCGGGAGCGGGAGACTCCTGGAGCGCCCGGGAGAGTTTTCTGTCTGGAGATCAGTGTCCATGGTTAGCTGGTAACCAGGGACGCTGATCTGCAGGTGACCGGAGCCAGCCGTAAGATCACGGCTGGCTTCGCCCAGCTGTCAGAAGCAGGCTGTCGGCCGACCGCTCGGCCAGCTTTGGCTTTCAGCGTGGCCCAGCCGAGCCGAGATATATGCCTTCGGCTCTACTGAGCCGCTCGGCTAAGTTCGGGAGCTGTACGTGCTATTGTGAATAGCCCGTACAGCAGCCCTTCGATTCTACTGAACCGAAGGGGTCCTGGGGCCAAAGCTAGCCGAAGGATCGGCAGAAGCTACGGCTAGATCCTTTGGCTGCTTCGTGAATAGACCCCAAAGTATATATACAGGTGAAACTCGAATAATTAGAATATCGTGCAAAACTAATTGCAGTAAGTTCTGCAAAAGGGGCCCAAACCAAGTACTGAGTACATATGCATCCTTGTACTTTTCAGAGGTCCGATATTGTTCTATGTACAATCCTTGTTTTATTGATTGCATGTAATAATCTACTTTTTTGAGGTTGTGGATTTGGGGTTCTTGGGGTTTTCATGAGCTGTAAGCCATAATCATCACAATTATGACAAATCACGGCTTGAACTATCTTGCTTTGCATGTAATGAGTCTATCTCATATATTAGTTTCACCTTTTAAGTTGCATTAGTGAAATGAATGAACTTTGCACGATATTCTAATTATTCGAGTTTCACCTGTACCTAGCCTGGCAATACATGGGACTTTTCATCTGTTAATGAATAATGAAAGGCTGACAAACACAAAAATGTACATAAATAAAAATAATCTCTTGTGATCATGACATGTACCTTGTACAATTTCAGAGAGCTTTTTCAGATCCTTTGTGCATCATCCTGATCATATCCTGTTCCCACCAAGGAAACATCATTTAATGTCTGTTGGAACCTTAAACAATAACTAAAGCCAATCAAGGGAAAACATTTCTGATTTTGCAGAGAAGAGTTAAAATGTATGCCAGGTTTGTATTTCTGTTTTTGACCAAATTTCTTCCTGTGTCTGTGATGCCTGTACAAATAATGGGGGGGGGGGGGGGGGCTCAACTGTCAGCTGAACAGTAAGGCATGGACAGCAGTAACAGCATTGTCAGACACTTCCTCACTCAACTAAAATGTTTTTTTGTCTATGTCCCCAATAAAGAGACTTCCCTAAATGGGACACGGACAGCTAAAATACCTGACCGAGACTCTAACCACTCCCTGCTCTATCCAAAATAAAACAAAATGTTGTGGTTGAGGTTGGGCTTTAAAATCCATTTCCAGCTTTGTAAGTGATTAGCATTTATTATGGTAATAAGAACCCCTCAGCAATGACAGTGATGATGTATTCATGGGCCCATTTTATGGCTCACATTGCAGGCTTTCCTCATTTTTATGAAGGTTTTTTAGGTCTGAGGCCTAAAAATTAAATATTTTCCCCAAAGGAAATTCAGTCTGACACCAGGGTGTTAGACTGTAATCAGCTGCCCCCCCCCCCTCCCTGTCACCCATTGTAACACGATCACTAAACTCCAGCCCTACCTTACCTAACACACAATACACTGTCCAGGAAAGGGGGGCTGGGGGGGGGGGTAAACCCACATTGCTTGCACAGCACATAGACAGCCATTTCCATGATGATATGAAGAGCAAAGCTAACAAAAAATGTAAGTTTCTGCTTTTATATACATCAACTGGATATCAACTTCTTCATGTACACTTGTACATTGATGGCATATATTTTGTTTTAAATACCTCTGCAAAGGTGAAAATAGACTTTAAGTCTTGTTCCATTGCTATGACCTTGTTCTTTCATGGTGCAATTACATTTTTTAGGATGAATAATAACAAATCAAGTGACCATTGATCACGGTTCAGACATGTTCAGCTTTATTTTCTCCTGTCAGAAAAAGAGTGCAAGGATTACATCAAAATACTCCAGTCTCTGCTAGCTACAAGAAACAAGAAACACGCCACAAAATGATGAAATAATGAATGGGCAAGTGGCTTCTATACATAGTGACAATGTATTTACAGGTAAAGAGGAGGAGCAGCGGAAATAAGTCCAGTAGAGAATTTGGCACTATACTGTAGTATTGGTACAGCACACATTACGTCTTCAGCTGAGGTTCATGGGTACATACGGCAGCACAGCACAGTTCATAAAGCTATGCACACTTCTCACTACAAAGGAAATCAACTGAAAATGAGAAGGCTGCTTTAGGAAACCATATTAACAAACAACAATGTATACATTAAAATGTCTCAGTTCAAATAATGTAATTCCTGTAGTGCTAACCTAACAACAATATAATACTTCCCTACAGTCCTCAACTGAGCATAATTTGATTGAGTCTTGTGTGGCATGCAACCAAATATCCATTACAGAATGTAATCATGGCTTAAGGGAATGTAAAATAGTAATTCCATCAAAGCAGAAGGATGTTTCCTCTTGAGTAATGTGCATCATTTTAACATGGCCCACTATTTTACATTCGAAGCCTAAGCATGTATAGCTAAAAACTCCATTGCTGTAAAAATAGGTCTATTGTTCTATCCTACACAAACAATGCCAATAAAACAAGGGGGATATACAGGAAAGCTTTCCCACCAGGTTAAGCCTATAAAGGAGCTTATATCTGTATGTATATGGCTGGCTTTACAATGGCCTTACAATAGTAAACTAGCTAGAACAAAGAACGACCCCTAGTAAGGACCAACATATTCCCTTTTTATACCCTTTTAGACATAAGATTTCAAATTATTTTTATATTTATAGATATTTGTTTTACTTACTGATTATTGATATTTATAAACATTAGCTGTAAAAGTCTTAAAATGCTTGTTAAAGCCACCCTGACACTATACTAAATGTTTAAAACCAAGCCATACTTGTAAAAGAAGAGTGTACATATTCACCTTCTTGCTGCCTGTGCCAGCAAATGTAATCCATTCCTAAAAAAATTTCATGTAAAGTCTGAAAGGAAAGAAACTGGTTTCCTTGCAGCTCTCACTGGTTCATCCTGCTGACCTCCACGCATTAGAGGATAGAGTAGTGACATGGGGTGGGTCAGCAGGCACCAGTGAGAACCCAGAAACATGATAGGAGCTATTTATCACCCAAAGTGATACAATTTTCACCCAGGATTCACACATTTTTCCAGTTGAGTCCAATAAAAATGTGTAAATCTTGGGTGAAAACATTGATAAATAGACTCCTTGACATAGCGACATGGTCACTTTAACATAACACACTTTATCGTAAAGATTTCATCCTTTCGCAGGATTACTGTTAAATTTCTTTTAAGCTGCTTGTGTCCCTAAAACATTGATCCCTACTAAAGTAGCTTCAATTATTTTATCTTAAAATCCATTAAAACGGTTCCTAAACTTAGTTCAGTCATGTACCACTGTTACAATCTCTGCAGTGTCAAATATATCAAACAGTTATTCCTACTGTATTTTGCTTGGGCCCACCTTTCCCCGCCACCTTATTCCTGGAAATGTTCAATCCATGAAAAATATACTTTTTTTCGCTAGTGGGTAAAGCTTTCCCTAACACAAAATACAGATGTGTCCTTTCACAAAGAACAATGACAAACTATTGTAAATGAGCACAAAGCAAAACATTCACTTGCATATGTCTGCATCGTCTATTAACAGTGAAATATATTAACTTGGTTTGGCAAAAGTTTTTAAAAAAATTAAGAATTCCATTTGTATTTTTTTTAAACTATTTATACATTGCAAGATAACAGTAAACATTGAACATGCCTTTGTACAAGGTTGTGACTTGGTTACAAATTAACAATAACAATGCACGGAAAAAGAAACTTTTTTTGTTCTCTGTTAATAACCCCCGCAAGTTTGTTTTTCATTTTGCATCTTCAGTGTGGCGCCTTATCTGAGCCGATCCTTGGACTCAAGAAGCAGGGAAGTTCCTTGTCTACTTGACCTTCTAGTGACCTTCGGGTTTACTAGACTTGGTTTCATGGTTAACGGAACTTGAAGAAAGCCACGGGGAGACGGATCTGGAACTTGTTTGCTTAGCCATGCTGTAGTGGCTGATTACAGTGTAAAACCTTCCCCGCGAGTTGGAATCCTGCGCAGAGTAGTATGCATCCAAGGAGGATGGTATGCACCTCTTATGCTGGAATTACAAAGGAGAAATAGCAAGAATATATATTTCAAAAATGTGTTCATATATTTATAAAATACATCAGGTTTGATCATTATTATTAGCAATACATAGGGGGTTATTCACAAAGCTGCCGAAGGATCTAGCCGTATCTTCGGCTAGCTTCGGCCCCAGGACCCCTTCAGTTATGTAGAACCGAAGGGCTGCTGTACGGGCTATTCACTATAGCCCGTACAGCTATACAGCTATTCACTATAGCCCGTACTGCTCCCGAAGTTGGCCGAGGGGCTCAGTCGAGCCGAAGGCATAGGCTTCGGCTCGACTGAGCCCAGGTGAAATTCATAGCCGAACAGCTCACTTCACTTCGGGTCGGTTATTCACTCGGCTGCCTACGGCAGCTTTGTGAATAACCACCATAATAATTCAAGTCATTTAGCTTGTATACACCAACTGCACGTCAACTTTTGTACTGGTCTACCTACGGTATAGTATGCATTTTTCCTGAAGCTGAACTCCAGCCTTACATTCAGTTTTGCCGAGTTGTACAGGTTCCTCTCCTGTATAGGTTCAGGTTCCTGTACAGGTTCCTCGTCACTATTGTGTTTGTTTGTTTGTTTGTTTATTTGTTGTAATAGTGAAATCACACTATATTTGAACACTTGTTGTACACATGGTGGTGTATTGTATAAGATTAGTTATTGATATTTTCATTATGGTTCTCTACTGTGTTTGGTTTCGTTCTATTATTTTCTAAAACATACATTTTCTGCTAAATTTATTTTTATTAATTTGTTTTGCTATATACTACCAATGTTAATTACAATAAAAGGGAGCCATGATTATTAAAAACATATTTTAAAAATATAAATTGATGGTTTTATTTTTTTTTACGTGTGTTTGTTTTTAATCTGTTATTTTGTATCTCTTTTACTATTCATATAAAGTCTTCATATACAAATAAACATTTAACAGTGTGTGTAGCCTGGATTCACAGTGCACTTCATCCAGTGAATAAATAATGTTTAGCATTCACTCTATTTATTATGTGGCAGATAATGGAGAAGTCTTGCGAAACTGCATGTTGTAGAGTCAAATGTCATTCTAATGTGTAATTCTTTGTATTCGTTGACAATCATTGCATATACTACTGAAGCAGCCCAAACCAGGCAAATTAACATTAAGAAAGGTTGAGGGAATGTCAAGCAAATTTATCGGGAAGATAACATGCCCCCTTTTCTTAAATAGTGTGAATGTCACAGTAACAATTTTTTTATTGTTGCAGAACAGATGTTGTTCAAACATTAGGAAACGTTTATTTCACTTGGTGAATTTTGGGCACATTTCAACTAATCTGGCTTGATTCACAGCTATTAGCAATGCAGATAAGAAAAACCTGTAAAAAGAATGAGCCTGACATAAAGAAAATAAATATTTATATACAATATTTCTTATTTTAGTGACCTCAAAATAAAGAAAAATATTTGTGTTCATTTATGAGCTCAATAAATAAAGAATATATATGCAAAACCACTAAATGTTTCTTTTAATATAATTATGTTTTATAAGTACAAGCTATTTTGTTTTACTATTCACAAGACAGAATATAACACTGCAAGAAAAGTGGTATTAAAAAGGACTCCAGTTCATTTTCCTTACAATGGGATGGCTTCTGCAGCTCCGGCCCCTGTGGATATCAATCAGCATGTTGTTAAACATAAATGTCTTATAGGAAATCAATGGGAGCTTCTCCATTGCCCCTATTTCACTATATATTTTAAGTATAAGAATGCAAAGATGAGATGAGCTACAGTATATAAAATCAGTAATGATCGGAACAGCAAGCGATTAATATTTTCATACCAGTGTGCTGGGTACTTGCACAGAACAGTATGTTATGACTCGCAGTATATGCAAATTATGTTACTATCAAGCATTATCGATTTCTTGTGTATTCCTTAATGAGCCTCTTCACTGCTATATCTCCAAGGATACTTAGTGAATCTATAGCTTTCCAGTATACTCATCTCTCAAGTGCCTGTGTTCAATGATCAGATTTGTCACCAGAATTTAAAAAATTGCATTTAAATTACTGTCTTACATTACGATAACAGTGCTATTGTATCTTCTATTTGATCTAAAATAGATATAGTTCGTTGTAAAAAAAAAAAAAAAAAAACTAGTAAAACTACTGCACTCAATCTCTCCTACATGCAGCAAGGTTTTTGAAGAGGCGGTCCAACCAAAAGTGATATTCCAGTTACAGGCAGAATCTAGGTAGACATCTAGCCACATGCTGCTGACTTCATATACAGTGGGTATAGAAAAGAATCACCCCCCTTTAAAATAATCACATTTTGGTTATTTTATGTAGGATTTTTATATGACCTAGGGCACCAGATCACAGGGAGGGTGCCAGATCACACAATGGCTTGCAGGGGAATTGTTAAATAGAGTCTAAGGGGTCTATTCACAAAGCTGCCGAGGGCAGCCGAGTGAATGACCGATCTGAAGTGAAGTGAGCCGAACACTGTTCGGCTATTCACTTCAGGCTGGTACGGCTAATTTCAGCCGTACATCGGCTTGCTTCGTGTGGCTTTGGGTCGGCCGAACATGCTCAGCATGTTCGGCCGACCCAAAGTGCAGAAGGAGTTCAGCAGATCCAACATCTGGATCCATGTCTTTATGGACCTTGCTTTGTGCACTGGTGAGCAGTCATGTTGGAACAAGAGGGGCCATCCCCAAACTGTTCCCACAAAGTTGGGAGCATGGAATTGTCCAAAATGTCTTGATATGCTGATGCCTGAAGAGTTCCCTTCACTGAAACTAAGGGGCCAAGCCCAACCCCTGAAAAACATCTGCAAACCATAATCCCCCCTCCACCAAACTTTATACTTGGCACAATGCAGTGAGGCAAGTGTTCTTCTGGCAACCGCCAGGCACAGATACGTCCATCGGATTGCCAGACAGAGAAGTGTGATTTGTCACTCCAGAGAACACGTCTCCACTTCTCTAGAGCCCAGTGGCGGCGTGCTTTACACCCCTGCATCTGATGCTTTGCATTGCACTTGGTGATGTAAGGCATGGATGCAGCTGCTCGGCCATGGAAACCCATTCCATGTAGCTCTCTACACACTGTTGTATCAATCTGAAGGCCACACGAAGTTTGGAGGTCTGTAGCTATTGACTTGGCGACTTCTGCGCACTGTGCGCTTCCGCATGCGCTGACCCCACTCTGTCATTTTACGTGGCCTGAGTTGCTGTTGTTCCTAGTTGCTTCCACTTTGTTATAATACAACTAACAGTTGACCGTGGAATATTTAGTAGCAAGGAAAAATGTTCTACAAACACAGAAATTGAACTATGTATTCCAATCTCTAGGTCATTGATGAATAAGATAAACAGGAACGGTCCCAGGACCGAACCCTGGGGCACCCCACTCACACTTTTTGCCCAATTAGAAAATGACCCATTTATTACTACCCTCTGGATCCATTCTTGCAGACAGTTTTCCACTCATATACATACAATTTCATCCAAGCCGATAGCCCTCAGTTTATGAATTAAACGTTTGTGGGGTACTGTATCGAATGCTTTAGCAAAGTCTAGATACACCACATCTACTGTAATTCCTGTCTTAATTAATACTGACTTCCTACTGACTACAAATAGCTATATGTTGTGCGTGGAGGGCCTCTGCAAAGTATAGAAATCTTACCTTGCTGCATGCCGTCTCTTTGCACATAATGCCAAGCTTCAGGGCACTCAGAGGGAGAGACGTGAAAAGTGAAGTGCTGGCCTCCTCACTACTTCCGTTTGATTGCAGGAGGAGATGAAGGGCCGGGATGTGACATCATCTCTCCTCCTTCAATCACTGAATGCCATGTTTTCTCCAAAAAAAAGGCATTTTGTGAATGGGAAAGTAGCAAGGAAGGGCAGGCAACGACGTGACTGGAGAACTTCACTGCTCAAGTCTCATCCCTCACTCCCCTCAGTGCACAAAAGCCCAGTGATGTGTACAGAAGATGTCATGCTGCAAGGTAAGATTTTTATACTTTTCAGTGGCACTCCACACATAATACACAGCTAATAAATTATACAATCAGTGTGCTGTGTACATTATCGTTCTTTCCTGGAGTTTGGCTTTAAAAATATATAAATACTTGAGTTTCTATAGCCTGGCCATGTATTAATCTTTTGTGCATATGGGTTAGCACTAACATAGCAGACGGCCCACATGTTACAGAACCTCTTGCTGTGTGGATACCAACCTGATGCGACAGGCTGGTATTAATGGAGAAGGAAATAAATTATTTTTCAGGAAGGGGGGGTAGGGCTATCTAAAAATATATAATATATAGGACCAAACATAGATCAGGTAAGCATTTTTGTTAGATATTTGCTAGCCATGAACTGGTCAATATGGATTGGATCTCCAACTCGGAAAATCAGATCATGCCTTTCTGGTTATTGTTGTATGTGTATGGCTTTTATTTACATTCTAAGGATAAAACATGGTTATATGGCATTGACATTGGCTTATGTGCCTGCATTTCATGTCTAGAAAAAGTTTTTAAAAAAACCTATAAGATGAACCATGGATTGGGCAAACATTTGTGGCTGATATTTGCTGGCTGTGAACTGGCTAATTTAAATAAAATCTCCAAATCAGCAAATCGGTTCACTCATTTATGGTTACTGTTTTATTTCATTCTAAGTACAAATAAATGTATATGGCTTTGACATTAGCTTATATGCCCATATTTCAACTCTAGAAAGAAATGTTTACTAGAGTTTTCCTTTTACAAAGGAAGTTGGTGCATACCTTGTAGACAAATCCATCTGGGCAGCTGTGATCATATGTGAAGGCTTTGTACACCACAAGGAACACTATGCAGGCGAGGAATGCAAGTGCCAGACTTATGAGGATTGTAACCTAGAGAGAAAAGAAAGAAAAAAAGGTAAGTAAAATGTTACTGCATATTTCTGCCATGTAAAAAGCTTGCCTGTGCAGAAATAAAAAAATCTGTCCTGTCACATCCTAGTTATAATTATTAGGTCATATTGATGTATTTATTTGGCAAATACTTCAATGGAAAATATGTTGTTTTTAAGTAGCTGTTTGGCCCCTGGGATGGAAAACAGGGACATTGTGGTACTGAAAAGATGACAATCAATAGGAGGAAATTGACAGCTTCCCTCTCGCATTGCCAAGGAATGAAGACAAGTAAGCATCATTAGGGCCTGAGTGTTCTTTCTGATCTTCCTGGAACCTGACATCACATATTTCTTTGCATGGCCTTTTGATAATGCACCATGAATTAAATTACACAAAGCATCTCAAGGTTTTCAAAGAAGAGAAAGGATAGAAAGCTTTTCTAGAGGTTTGTGCTTTCAGCACATCTGCTTACGAGCAAAACAATTTCCTTGAATCTGTCGATTAAGAGATCATATAAAAACCTGACAATCCACCCACCAGCACAAAAAAATATGTCACATTTCTGCCCTAACAAGCCATTAATGGAAAAGTCCACATTTAACCCCTCCTACACTTTGTGAAATCACTTTACTGTGAGACTCTGTTAATATGTCAAGATGCTCCTACTTGTCATCATTAGTTCTGCAGGGCATGCTGCCTCTACCTTTGGGAAGTTTTCGGTTCTGGCATTATGTACCACAATTATCGTCAAGTGCACATTCTTTGGGAAAAAGGCTGAAGACAAGCTGTGCTATTCTAAAGATGCAAAGCAATAATGAAGAAGTATAGAGTATATTTATACTTTAGAGTATATTGCATCTGCATTTTGTTCAAACAACTTAAAGTGTATTTGCCTAAGTTGCATCCCTTTAAATGTTATGCAAGTATAAAAAAAAGTCTGTTGCTCTGCCAATAATACAGTGTACTCCTTACTTGCTGTTGTAACCCAACAACACTCTCTCTGCTTCCCTGAAATCCCAGCCCTACCCAGTTTGTCTATGCTGGTCTACTAAACATCTGCCCCATATATTATATAGAAATTAAGAGGAGGATAGTTGATCTGAAACCCAGAGGGGAGGACTTAGTTAGGGCTGATAACACTAGTTCAGGGTAGAGAAGTGAATGGATTATAATTTTTTTTTTTTGCTGTCTGTTTTTGTTTGCCTTTTTCTTTCCTTGCCTCGGGACACAACATGAGGTGAGAGGAGATGTCTCCAAATAAAGGAAAGCTCTCTCTTAAATAGTTATCACTGGGACAAGTAACCCTATTGGATGGTATTCCCTTTCTATCCTGTTCTGGTGACAACTCAAAATTTTGGATTTTAACTTGTGTTAAGTCCCAGTGACAATGAGCACCAGGACTAACAGAGAGGATGAAGCTCCCGAATATGGACACAAATAGCAATACAATCCTTACAGATGCTCTAATCCTTCCCTACTCTATGCAAAACAAACAATGTCTATGTCTTTAGATACAGTTTTAAGAGCAACTTCAAGTACATTTTTCTTAACCCTTGGAGTGGGGCTACCCACGCACTGCAAGGGTTAAGTGCTCCTTTTTGTCTAGGTTAAAAAATTAAAATATACTCACCTGAACCTCAGAGCTGGCCTGCTGTCACAGTGTTCCCCCCTGCCCGTCTCCACTGCAGTGATGGTATGTCCCTCTGTGTCTTCAGGTCCTATACACAGTGTAGTGTACATGATGACTCATGGACCTTAGACCGCTGCAGCGGAGGGCAAGCAAGGCTCCAGGGACCAGTCTAAAAACAAGCCAGCTCGGAGGATCAGGCGGGTATAACTTTTTTATTTTTGAAACTAGACAAAAAAAAACAAGCAGTTGACCCTTGCAGTAAGTGGGTAGCCCCACTGCAAGTGTTAAGAAAAATGTTACCCAGAGTTCTACTTTAAGTTTTCTTACACACTACATACTAAACATAGTGAACAAGAATTAACAGAGAAGCAAGTGGGTATTGCTAGAGAAACGGCTGGCACGGAACAATTTATGAGATTATTTCTACATGTAAAGTCCTATTTAATAAGACAACTAAAACTGGCTATGTGCAGTAGCAGGACACATATTTGATCAACCCAAGTATTGTGGTGAAAGCATTATGCATTTCAGGAGAACAATATCACAAATAATTTTGGAATAAAATGTTGCTTTTCTGGACATAATTGCCTATGCTATTACAATTAGAAATAACTGCTACAGCAATGAACGCATGAGTCATTTTGTTCAACCAATTTGGTCCTGACCTAGTTACTCAGTCACGTGTTAGGGTTTAAAAGAAGAGGTGAAGATCAAGTGATGCTCATTATTACCTTTTAGCCAGCACATCTTCCTCTAGTATCATCTGAATTCTTTGTATAGAACAGTAATTATAACTATTTTATCTCTTATTTTGACCACAAGCAACATATTCACATTTTATTAGGCAATTTGGACTAGACTTATGTTCCGCTCTAAATAACCTTTATATTTCAATATATGTATATATTATATCTGTAACTAGCCTGAACGGTGCACTCTTGGCCAGTGGCCAATGCCTGAAAGCATATGGAGAATAAGGAGTCATGAACTTCCTCTACACATTCCAAGATCAGAATATAATATTAACATTTCGGTGGGAAGAAGCCACTTTGAAATGATCCAGTAAGGCCACGTAGACTGTTAAATATCTGACCGTTTGGTCTTTTGTTTAAAGGAGAATTATGAGGCAAGTGAAAATCACTCAGTCGGACGTGGGAGGGGTGGTCAATCCCGCAGCTGGGTGGATCTCGACAGTAATGTCAGGATCCGTCCTGGCTGCGGCGTGTCAGTATACCACAAGCTGTAGCTCGCAGTATACTGAGCTTAGGGTAACGGGAGGATGCTAGTTTGTGTCCTCCCGTTATCCTTAGGAGAACTATGGGGAAAAGCCCTGACCCCATAGTTCTCCTTTAAGCTAGCAGGTCTCTTTCAGCATCACTAAATCACAAAACAAAGAACTGGAACACAGTTTCAGACAATAGTAATAAAGTCATTTTGTAACTATTCATCATCTTAGGCTAAAAAAGTACTTAAAGTCTATTTCCACTCCCCTTGTAGTGGGACTACCCCTGAACTGCAAGGTTTAACTGCTTGTTAAAGTCTATGGTACCTGGAGTTCAGCTTTAACTATAAAACTAGGTCTTGTCCCTGCCCCTAGGCTGTAATTGGGCAAGGCGGGAGAAGAAGCAGACTGATAAGCTCATCTATTTGTCACTCTGTTTTCTTCTCCTGACAGCATGCTCATTGTTAGCAAATGAGCACTGCAACAGAACTGATTGGCTGCTTGTGCTGCCCCTCCCTCTCCCACAATGAGCTCTGCTGTACAGGGGATTGCAAGGGGATAATACCAAGTCAGGTACAAGTATGAAAAAACCCTCTTAATGACTTAAAATAAAAACATACCTGCATAAATTGGTGTTTTTTATCTGCCTGCAGTTAAGCTTTAATACATAGACAGTGCTTCGCAAAAGTCTTATATAGCTAAAGAAAGTTTAAACCCATGTATGTGAGTAATTTAATCTGTGCATCTTCTAAAAACCTGGGGTAAAAAACTGCCAATTGTTAAACCACAACCCATAGAAACAGATTGAGTACTGTATATCTGTAAAACAAATAAAACTAATTATATTAGTATAGACCTGTCCCCACTGTTTTTGTGCAGTTTGGTTTCATTGCAAAAGGCAGGCAACCGCAATAAAGAAAATCAACCCCAAGTGTATGATGGCTCAGAAGAAAACGCTAATGATGGTGCAGTTTAACGACTTCACAGAAAGTTGTTCAAGTATTCCCTAAAACAACCAGGAAAATCAACCCCAAGTGTATGGTGGCTCAGAAAAAAACGCTAATGATAGTGCAGTTTAATGACTTCACACAAAGTTGTTCAAGTGTTCCCTAAAACAACCAGGAAAATCAACCCCAAGTCTATGGTGTCTGAGAAAAAACGCTAATGATGGTGCAGTTTAATGACGTCACACAAAGTTGTTCAAGTGTTCGCTAAAACAACCAGGACATGACTTGTACTCTATTCCCCACAAGCTTCTTCTGCCTTATGCCTCCCCTCCTCCTATCCTAGGGGCAGAGAGAATGTAAGAGACAGGCTCCCCAATCTGTGTCAGAACACCTAGAACTAAAAAAGCAAACGGTCATCCTATTCTTCTAGCAGTCTGGCTTTAGGTACACAAACCCTGTAAAACACATTGTGTGTGGGTGGCTGTAAAGAGTTCCTCAGAACCTTGGTATCCTAGGCTATGCCCTGTGTTGACTATACAGAAAGGTCCTGATAACAATGACAAAACAAATTTAAAAACTGATCACTGCTCGTAGTAGCATGGGTCTGTAAACCCGCATTTCCTCTATACCATCGGAGCAAAGTAAGCGTGCACTGCTGTGAGAAACATATCCCAAAAAAATGCAAACATACAGGTAAAAGCAGAGAAGGCATTACCAAAGGATTGACACAGGAAGGGAAATCTACTACATTGGAAACAATTAGCAAGGGACTGGAGAAACCACAATAGAAATACTTAGCTGTCATATTAGGTGGAGAGGTGGTTGACAAAGGTTCTGCTTCACACTTTTCCATTTATATAAGCATAATAGGGGTATTTACCTATTTCCAAAAACAGAAGTGGTGAAGGAAACCTATAACTTAAAAAGGGTGATGGTCACGGCAGCCATATATGTGCTTAATCTTTGACAGGGAAACCATAGGGAGCGCTGCTGACAAAGTGCATAGATATAGATTAGTGTATGGTTTGTAGGCACTGGTAAGTCTGTTAAAGTAGACTGAATATATGTAACAAAATACTCTATGACTTAGATAATCGAGGGGAGGTATCCTTTTTCATCCTTTGTAACATCTTATGCTGCTGATGTCCTTCAGCCTCTTTAAGCCCACCCCTTTCCATATGCACTACAGTCATAACAAGCTGCATGTACTTTTCGTAAGGCATGTTTCCTAATTGCTGCTGATTGTAACAGTTTTTTTCATGTGCCTTTTTTTAAATGGTGACAACAATGATTTATGCCAGGGCAATGTGCATCAGCACAGAGCCTATAGTTTCATTTGGGAGAGGATGGGAGAGGTGGATTTAAAGGCAGGAGATTGTGGGAAATGTGGAAGAACGTTACTTGTCACCCAGTAACACAAAGCGCCCAAGCAAGGATCTTTATATCTGTATCACTAGCTGTTATTTTTATTAATGCTAGCATTTAGAAATTGGCTTTCCAAGTGATATTATCATTTTAAAGCCTATATGAGATTTTAGTGGTTGGGCTTAAGTTTTTTTTTAAATGTAGTACCAGGGTTATTTTCTTCTGTGTCCTGCCTGTGTGCACAGATCTGTATACCCCAAAATCCTTTTCAAGGGTCATTATCTGTCTGCAACAACTGATAGCTAGTTCTTCAATTGTAAACATCCTAGCTACAATTTTTTTTAAATATTTGAGATATTTTCCCCTTTTTTCCAAATAACTTTTATGTTGGGGTGATTAAAGTAGATCAGACAGTTGGTGCTGACAGTCCATTCAAGAGCTGCCTTTTTTCATAGCACCTTACTGTATCCATTGAAAAAATCTTTCAAAAAATTGACAGTCCATAATGGCCAAGTAGAATAGGCTAAAATGTGGAAAAACCGAAAAGGCACTAGAAATTCAACTGTACCATCTCAGAGACACATGACCAGCAGTAGGTCAGTTTTGTGAGCATGTTGAAAAAAGGCTTAGACACAAGGTAGGTGTTTTGTTACACTAAAAATAAAAATGCACTATCCCCGAGACACTTCAAAAAACCTGACCAGCAGCAAGGTGGTAATTTAACATATCCAGGTAGAATAGTCCAAACTTTGCAGACACAAACAAAGCAAATGTGTTTTCTAAAATATAAATTACAGTGTAGTGTCATTTTTTTTTCTTATGTGACAAGAAAAGATGCCAGTCTGAGAGTACCCAAGGGCTGCAACCTGGGTGCTGTTCTAAAGCAAAGTTCATAATTCCGTTTTTGTTGGGCTTGTGAATACCAGCAGACTCCCTGAAATGTTCATATTAGCCTAATTGGACACTGGTACCACAATGTCAAAAGAACAAGCAAAGTCCTAAATGTAGAGGCTGTGATAACAAGGCCAAAATGTTGAGAAAAAGGGCACAAATAGTCCTCTTGAAAAAAAATTAGAACCCCACCTTTTTTTTTATTCAAATTTTTGAATGGGCCATGTGATTACTTGACAATGAGAAGGAGATGAAGAAGAAGGATGGGAAGTGGCAGGAGAATCCAATAAACACCATACCAACCCCCTCCACTTCCTCATTAATTAAACACAGACATATTCCACTCCTATGTACTGAAGAATGCAGTAGAATAATTTTTCTGTATGAACAAAGCGACCATGACATTCAAGACTAAAATCCACAGTTCACCTTTTGCTTTTTCAGTGGATTTTGTGATGTTGTGAAACTTTAGTCAAGCATTAAATTTGTATAATAGAGTTAGATGTAAGACATGATCCATTGCTTAAACACTGTGCACATATATATCACACATAAATAGGCTGTGCCATAGCAAGAGAGGTAGCAGAAGCAGCCATGGATACTGTTCTCAATGTCCCAGTGCGCCCATTTCTGATGCCAATTGAAGAATAAGTCTTTCCTTCTCACTGCACCAATGGAAGCTTAATCATGATGCAGACAGTAGACAGAGGAGGCTTTCATGCTCGCATATTGCTTATATTTGGTGACACATACGTGTGGGTTATCGATGATAGTGGAAAATAAGGAGCATATGCTTGCGGTCTCTGATTCACATTTTATATTGAGGATTGAAGGAGTAAAGGTATGATACACAAGCATTTGCAAACAGTAGAGATGTTATGTAAAGACAAGTAAACCAAAGCATCCAAAAAGATGTCAACATTTAACTTAAATGACGATTGATGTTTGGATTCCTGAGTGCATTGTTCTATTGCCTTTATAAACAAGACTCAATTTAGGATAAATAAAGTGCAAAAAGCATTGATGTGCAATTGTTGCCTTGGTGTGCATATTTTGGCATTCCTTACCCTAAAAGTCCAACATTCCCAATCAACTTTTCTACAAAGTATGATTAGCAATTGGTCTCATATGAAAGTAGCCAATGTCCAATATGGACAATCAGATCAGCCATGTTCACATATTGTTGTTTTGTGGGAACAATAGTAATTGACTGCAATAGTTTTTTTGTCTAATTGATTCTTCTAGTGAGAATGGTCAGTCTGGGAGTGTTTTTGTCTGCACAAGTTAGGGGTGATTGCTTGCCAGTTGTTTTGGGGTGTATCATGAGGTGATCAGTTTATTTCTATGGGTAGCCCTTAAGAGTTCTTTTGAATGGGGTTTCTCCAAAAACTCTTCTATAACCAGGGAAAGGGGTGTTGATCATTTCTTTTTAAAAAAATCATGTTTGTTTAGAATATGAAAATAGCCTGGTCACAGATTTACTTTAAAAGTGTAATCAGTCTTTTCCTGTTGTCTTGGATATACTTTACTAAGTAGCAGTAAAAAGGGACATAGATTGGGGGCGTGGCCGGGATGTGAGACTGAACGGACGTGCTTAGCTGCAGCTCCTCTCATCCGTTCAGCCATCCTAATCTCCAGCGGTGTTCTTCGGTGGTTTCTTCCTCACCTGCCTGTGGTAGAGACTCCGGTGCAGGTAGACGTCCTCTCCATGCGGACGAAACGCAGATCGGCAAGGTACGGGGTGAGCGGTGTGCCTCAGGGCCCTTCCCCTGTCACACGTGCGGGCGCCATCTTGGCTGCACGGTCTCTGTCCCTCATAAGTGCCAGCACGCAAACGGCCGGGTGGGAAGAGATGGAGCAGGCAGCGGGCCATACAAGTCTGAACGGACCCTCTCCTCATCATAGCCTTGAGCCCCCGGGTGCCACGGATGCCATCCTGGCTGCCATTGAGGCCAGTAAGACTACCCTGATTGCCAGGATGGACACTCTAGCTTTGATTGTTATCGTGAGAGGCAAGGGGGGGTGGGTGTACGTTGGAGGGTATCTCAGGGGGGGGACTGATTGGGGCGACTGTTTATGGCGATTTGGTAGGAATTTGCATATTTTATGCAGGAATGTATAGTTAATGTGTTATTGTTTAGGCACCTTGTTGGTGTCATGTTGTATACTAAAATATGCAAAATGAATAAAAAGATTTTTCAAAAAAAAAAAGGGACATAGATTACCCAAAATAAAAACATTCTTCTAGTGGGAATTCTGGCTAAATATATGGTCACATAGAAGCATCACGTCAGTACTTGCAGCACCCATTTCCACAGTTGAAAAAACACAACACAAAGCCTAATAATCTGTTTTACTAAAATGATTTATCCATAACACTACAAAAATGTTTATTCAATCGCCAGACAGCAGGTATGAAGGCCAAAATATAGGGCTGGTAATGATTGCCATCGATTAATCGAAAAAAAATGTCATCGATTAATTTCGATTAATTATAACGGACATACAGATCCAACTACATTGGCCTATACACATTATATATATATATATATAAACAGTGTATATATATACATATTTGTCTGTGTTGCTGTAGCAGATTGTATTTAACTTCCTGTCTTATGAAACATTGTGGCCAAGCTGTAATCCTTCCTGAAGCTGGCCATAAAGCTTGCAATTATTGTTCGATTTCTTTCGTGCCCTCTTCAAACTGTCATTCGATTTCTGATTGAATACCCCATCATGCACAGACCAATGTTGATTGTGATTATCGTTCGTTAGCAATGCTAACTCATTAAATTTCGCC